AAAGAAAGAAAGAAATGCAGAAAATGGCCGGCGTAGCAGCTCACACCTGTAATTCCAGCACTTTGGGAGGCCAAGGTGGGTGGATTACCTGAGGTCAGGAGTTCCAGACCATCCTGGCTAACATGGTAAAACCCTGTCTCTACTAAAAATACAAAAATTAGCCATGTCGTGGTGGCAGACACCTCTAATCCCAGCTGCTCAAGAGGCTGAGGCAGGAGAATCACTTGAACCCAAGAGGCGGAGGTTGCAGTGAGCCAAGATTGCACCACTGTACTCCAGCGTGGGCAACAGGGCGAGACTCTGTCTTCAAAAAAAAACAAACAAACAAAAATGTGGAAAATGAACATCTCACCACTGCACCTGGGCCTTGGAGCCAGCAAACAGACTGCAGGAGTGCAGGGGCAGGGGGCAGAGGGGTGTGCGGGAAGGGCACACTCGCCATCAGCTTGAACTGCTTTGGCTCTGTCCCAAGAGCAAGCAGGGGAAAGCAAGGAGCAAGGCACTCAGCCTCCAGGAGTCAGCAGCTGCCACCAGGCTCAGAGGCCCTGAGCCCTGCCCTGCCTGCTGTCTTACAGGGTCCTCCTATCCTCCCAGGGAACACTTCTGTGGTAAGGAAGATGGTCTTGATAGAGGGGCCTCAGAGAGCCTTTGTGCCATTCATGGGGGCTGAGCTGCCAGCAAAGGGTGGTAGAAGTGGGAAACTGAGCCCAAGTGATTAATACAACAGCCAATGTTTTTATCATTCACCTATACAAGGCATTATTTTGCACTTATGAACTTATTTCATATAGCAGCCTGATGGTACTTTTAACTCAACTTTTCCAGTAAATAAGGGCAGCCACAGACCTCAGGCTGTGGCCAGCTGGGCCCTGACAGCTGAGATGTGCAGCAGTGTCAGGGGACTGAAGTCCCTGGTTGCACCCACCTCTGCATATGGCATCCGACCTGCAGTCGGATTGTTAAAGTGGTCCCTAGGCCAGGTGCAATGGCTCACACCTGTAATCCCAGCACTTTGGGAGGCCGAGGCAGGTGATCACAAGGTCAGGAGTTCGAGACCAGCCTGACCAACATGGTGAAACCCCATCTCTACTAAAAATAGAAAAATTAGCCAGGCATAGTGGCCCACGCCTGTAGTCCCAGCTATTTGGGAGGCTGAGGCAGGAAAATCGCTTGAATCCGGGAGGCGAAGGTTGTAGTGAGCTGAGATCATGCCACTGCACTCCAGCCTGGGCAACAGAGTCTCAAAACAGAAAAAGAAAAGTGGTCCCTTGTGTCGGAGCAGAGGCTGGCTCCACAGCAGCAGGCACTGCAGCTTCTGGGGGAAAGGCCTGCCCATGTGCCTGAGGCTTGTTTTTCCCTTTTCCCTTCAGTCTCAAGGCTGTCCTGGCGGGGAGCCCCCCAGACAACACAGTGGACCTGTCAGGCATCCCACTGACCTCCCGAGACCTGGAGCGGGTGACCAGCTACCTGCAGCGCTGTGGGGAGCAGGTGGACAGTGTGGAGCTGGGCTTCACAGGCCTCACGGATGACATGGTCCTGCAGCTGCTGCCCGCACTCAGCACCCTGCCCCGCCTCACCACACTGGCGCTCAACGGCAACCAGCTGACCCGGGCCGTGCTGCGTGACCTCACTGACATCCTTAAGGATCCCAGCAAGTTCCCCAACGTCACGTGGATTGACCTGGGCAACAACGTGGACATCTTCTCCTTGCCCCAGCCCTTCCTGCTCAGCCTGCGCAAGCGATCCCCAAAGCAGGGCCACCTGCCCACGATCCTGGAGCTGGGTGAGGGCCCGGGCAGTGGGGAGGAGGTCTGGGAAGGGACAGTAGGCCAGGAGGACCCTGGAGGGGGCCCTGTGGCACCTGCCAAAGACCTTGAGGGCAAGGAGACTGTAGCTGCAGCTCAGACGTGACACGGAAGTGAGGGGCCTCACCAGGGAGTCCTTGTGGGGTGGAACGGCCAAGGCAGGCAGGGTAGGTGCTTCTCCTATCAGGTGGGCTAAGGCTATTGCCAAAAACTGGCCTGGGCAGCCCACCTACAGAGGCAGACCATAGCATCTGGGGAAGGGGACTTGTGATACTTCCCATTGGTCCTCTCCATCTGCTCCCACAAATCCCATTACCTGTCGTTTGGCTCTTAAGTCATCCCAGGCCCCAGAGACCCTTCTGAGCTCAGCCCATGGCCTTCCCCAAAGACTTGTGGAAATGGGCATATTGCTGGAGGTACTGGAAGCCTGAGCCAATGTGAACACCAAGAGCTTTCCCCTAGAGAAGGAATACAGCAGGGCCCCTACGTGCATGACATTTTTCATTCGGGGGAAACAAGCTCCAACCAGATGACCGTGTCCCCACTCAAGGGAGGTGAGAATCTTTAGCAAGCCCTGTAACTCAAGAACCTGGGGAACTATGCCCTTTGACACAACAGCCTATGATGCCCTGTGGTGCCCATGCATACAGGCATCTAGTCCTGCTCAGAAATCCCATATCCACCTTCCCTACAGGTGAAAAACTACTAACTTTTGTGTGGGCTCTGGTGTCATAGCATGCAGGCCAACTGACAAGCCTGGCTTCGTCACTTGCCAGTATTTCACTGACTTACGCTGTAAGGACCCTTTCCCGTTAACTCTTAAGTAACCCACTAACACGTTCCAGAAAACCTACTGCAGAGGTAGGCTTTAAAACCTTAAAAACCTGGGACTATGAAGACCAGTCCCTTGGCAGATCCAACAAGATGGCTGAGAGGGAGAAACAAAGGAGCCTAATTTAGCAAAGGTTCTCATCTTACCTCCCCTTACCCATATACTCTCCTAGTGAACAGGCCCCATCAGTTAAGGAAACTCTTCTAACAGGCAACCCCTAGATCCAGGTAGTTCAGTCCAGGGAGAATGGGAGCAATCACTCTTGAACCTTGTGGGCAAACAGTATGGAGCACCCTCTGACAGACCTTGGTAGGCAAGATTCCAACACAGGAAGGCCTGTCAAGATGGGGCCTAGACTGTGGGGCCCTGTGTGCTGTTAAGGTTGTGGTTAGGAATGGTGCAATGCTGCAGGGGCTGGGAGAAAGCTACCCCAAGGGACAGAGATGAGAGCAGCCGGGGCCAAAATTGTCAAGGCCGTAAATGCTCTGAGTTGTTGCCTTCAGTCTAAAGCTGTATAATAGGGGTTAAGAGCTTAGGCTGACCACAGGGAAGTTTACAAGCTAGAGCGCTAATATCTGGACTGCTAATATCTGACAATAGTAGGCAAAATTCACTTTCTCTTCAAATACACATTTTTAAGAATCGATACCAAAGACCATCCTTTATTGTAGTATTAGTTCATGGTAACTGCATGAAAACATTTCAGGAGGAATTTACGATTTCCAGCTTAAAGGACTTGGCCCCCCTCAACATAACCTATTTATGAAAGTCCATTCATTAAAAAAAGGGAAAGAACCTGTTGGGCAGGATGGCAAGGGACAAAGCTAGAACTTGGCCTGTGCCTTTGGAGGCTGAGGCAGGAGGACCATCTGAGCCCAAGAGCTTGAGACTGGCCTGGGCAACATAGCGAATTGTCTCAACAAAAAAAATTGTTTTTAATTAGCCAGGTGTGGTGCTGTGAGCTGGAGTCCCAGCTGTGAGGCGGGAGGCTTGCTTGCCTGGGTGATTGAGGCTGCAATGAGCTGTGATTGTGCCACCACACTCCAGCCTGGGCAACACAGCAAGACTGTCTCAAAACCCAAAAAACTGGAGAATGTAATGATACCCAATGTGCCTTTTCTAGAAAAATTTGCCAAATATATCTCTTGGATCTGCTGAGCATGTCCTCTGATACGCAAGGCAAGCATGTTTCTACATCCAATGTTGAAGCCCGTTAATAAGGTTTTCAGAATCCAAATTGATGGCAGCTACTGGTCCTTGGGACTGACATCGTCTGGGACTATAACCTGCAAAGAAACTACATTTCAATCTCACTTTCTGCACCAACTAACAGTCATTCACAGAGTAAGAGATATCTTCAGAAAACCGTAGGTTCACCACTACACAATCTGCCGGTAATTCCAGCTATTATGGGTGATTTCATCATTTGATATCTTTTTCTTCAAGTGAGTTTTAACAAGATCAGCTCTTTATTTATTCCACTGTGGGGTAGGGGGGGGTCACTGGCTAGCTCAAGGCTTACCTTCTCTTGGGCTGAGATGCTGCCACCAGCCTTAAAATTGCACTCCATTCTCAAAACCTGGGGGAATGGAGAAAGCACACACATCTTAGAGACTGCAGATGCAGAGCAGGAAAGGCATTTCTGATGACAGCATCAATTATGACTTTACAAATTAAGGTCCATCCTAACAAAAGCCCCTTAAGACCTTATTAGAGGTAATTTTTTGCAAATTATTAAGAACTACAAATCTTAATTAGCTTCTCGGGGGGCTGTAATTTTTTTTTTTTTTGGAGACAGAGTCTCGCTGTTGCCCAGGCTGGAGTACAGTCGCAGGATCTCAACTCACTGCAACCTCTGCCTCCCAGGTTCAAGCGATTCTCCTAGCTCAGCCTCCCAAGTAGCTGGGATTACAGGTGCACGCCACCACACCTGGCTAATTTTTGGTGGAGACGGGTTTTCACCATGTTGGCCAAGGTGGTCTTGAACTCCTGACCTCAGGTGATCCACTCGCCTCTGCCTCAGCCAGATTTGGCTCCGCACTACCCTGCCAAGCTGCCCAACACCGGGCCACAGTGCCCTCCGCGAGGGCCATGTGGGCAAGAGATGGGGAGCCATGCCATCTCAACAGCTATCCTCCACCCTCTAGCCAGGCTTTCCAGGATCATCTCCCCAGAAACCATAAAACCTCGAGCTCTTTACTTGCTCTTGCCCTTAGCTACTATTCCCAGATCTCAAAGTGCTAGGATTATGGGCCACCGCGCCCAGCCACAGGTGAGTTGTAATCTACATTTTAGTTGTATCACTTTAAACTTCACAAACCTAAGATTACTTTTCCTTTTCACTTATGAGGAAAACTGCATCTTAGCAGACAGGTAATTTGCTCAAGACTAAACAGCCAAGAGGTAAAAAGAGCAACTCCTCTTTCTAGCTTCCACCCTGGCTCCAATGCCAACAGAAACCAAAATCAGTATCTCTGGGATAGGCTACACTGTCACAAGGTATTAGGTTAGCCAAATCCAACTGCCAATATTCGACCTGACAGCTAGGCATTATCAACCACTAGCCTCCCAGCATACCAAGGCTTACCTCATGGAAGGCTCCGGGCTCCAATACTTAGCTGCCAAACATGTCAATGAATCCTTCACGAATACGCAACCTAGGTGAATACAGATAGCAATTAGGTCACCATTCAGACAAGTTTACTCCTGGGAACCAGCAAGAGGTTTACACTTGACTGCAATCAGACAAGAGTAGCTTTCGTCAGTTATCGCTTCTGACGGCACTTCCTATTAGTGATTTCATCAGAGCAGTCAAGCACCTCCCAACTCTCCAGTACTGCTCCAATCGGAGATCTAAACCCTACCAGAAACTTAAGCTAACACTGCCTTACAAGACCCCCTGGAGACATTTCTTAACGAAGGAGTTTGTTTCTGCATGTAACTTCGCTTTAAATGCAGTTCTAGGTTAAGGCTGTGGCTGAAGCCGCCATCTCCAGTTTCTATTTAAGTTCCACACATGCAATGCCTTGACACGTTATAAAAAAACATATACACTTACACCTAAACGTAGAAAACTATCAAAACTCCAATTTCCGTGCATCCAAGATGACAAAACTACTTTACATAGTAAACCCGACCCCAGAGGGCCTCTTACCTCCTGGCTACCCCGTCTTCAGCACTCTGCAAAGCGTATGCAATCTGAAACAGGGAGTGAGGAGAGGAATTCAGGGTAGGCTCTGGAAGTTATGGTAAACTAAATTGTGGAGATTTGAGTGACTGCGGTCAGATAGGCGTTAAACGTCGTCAGTTATCGCTTCTGACGGCACTTCCTATTACAAGTATCATCACGACAGTCGAGTAAGTCTTCAAGTAATAGCATTTCAATCTTGCCGTCGTAGACCGCCCTAGGAGTACCCCTAACGGGAAGCCAACCCCAACTTACCCTGTTCTCTCGGGTTTGCACACTGTACATGACGGGCCTAAGAACCGGGTCGCAGACTTCAGGCTCTTGCAACTGTGGCCCTACCACAAGCGTGATCCATGAGCCTCAGCCACGGCAGCCGGATTCGGCCCCGCGCTGCCCCTGCCAGGCCGCCCAACACCTGGCCGCAGCGCCCGCCGCGAAGGCCACGTGGGCGTCAGAGCCGGGGAGCCACGCCATCTCAACAGCTGCCCTCCGCCCTCTAGCCAGGCTTTCCGGGAACATCTCCCCACAAACCACTAAAGCTCGAGCTCTTTATTTGCTCTTGCCCTTAGCTACCATTCCCTTATACCTGCATGACAAATGGAGCGAAAGGGTCGCACCTTTTGCAACCCAGGCCCTTAAGGAGTCGGAATATCCCATTCCTCACAAAAGGAGGGGAACGCTGGCAAAGACTCACGGGAACTTTCCGCCAATTAACGATACGGACCGCCGTGCTACTCAGGGCTCCCCCTCCTGTTTAGCCTATGGTCTCTTCCACAGCCCCGGGAATTCTGGGTCACAAGAAGCGCGGCGAGTTCCAGGGCGCCTGCGCGAGGACTGGAGCGGGGTTTTTGGGCCCCGCCTCCTCCACTCTCTAGCTGGGTGGTCTTGGGCCAATCACTCATCCTCTGTCAGCTTCCGATTGGTAGTCTGGAAAACCCAGACACCCGCACCCCAGAAGATCTTGTGAGATAACACACGTCAAACCCTATAGAGGCTTGGCACACGGCAAGCATTCATCCTAGTAGCTCCTCCTGAATCTATTGAGAGTCGCCAGTGATCTGCGAAAAAAAAAGAGAGTCGCCAGATACTCTCTCCACAGCTATTTTACTGTGTCCACGGGGTCTCTCAACCCCCCCCGCACTGACCACCCTTATCACTCTTTAGCACGACCTTTAGGGAACGAGCGGACGTCTTATCTGGATCCAAGTCCATCCTCTCCTCGCCTCTGGGGTAAAGCTCTGCTCACCTCATTTCTTCTCTCGTTCCCTGGGGCCTCTTTCACCTATGTCCCTGTCTCACCTTCCATGGAAAGCTCTCTCTACTGAGGCTTTCCTTTCAGCCTATGAACATGCTCAGCTCTCCTTGGAAAATAATCCATGCAAACACCTTTTGCACACAGACGGTTATACCAAGGGAGAGAAATTCATTTTGACTGCAAAAAACAGGAGGCAATCATAAGACCTTTTGAGCTGACCTCAGAAATAAGCATAGGGTTTTAATGTAGGTGGGGAGCTTCCAGCAAGAGCCAGGTCAAGGGATCAAGCACGAGATCTCTTGGCTTGCATGAATTTGGGGAGAGGGCTAAAGAGGGTGGGGCAACAGGTGGAGGGAAGGAGGTGTCCGGAAATGCTTGGGCAAAACCTTGGGGGTCTTGGGATGCCAGCTAGGGCATTCTGTGGTACTGGGGAGCCTCTCAAGCCTTCAGAGCACTAAGATGACATGTTTGTATTGTGTCTTAGGAAGGCCCCTCTGGCTGCCCTGCAGAGAATGGCTTGGAAGGGGGGGAAGATGAGCAAGAAGCCCAGTAGGAAGTGAACGAAAGAGAGGTGGCTTTACTGGGTCTTCCCAGGTGCCTGCCTGAAAGCAGGGTGATTGTGGAAAGCAAAGGGTGTCATGGTGGAGAAAGGAGAGGTGGCTGTGTTTGCCCATGTCCACCACTATATATCTGCCACAACAATGGGCACAGCACCTCGGCCAGCTGCCTGTAACCAGGTAGAGGAGAGTCCTCAGACTTAGGGACATGGGGGTAAGGGTGGGGACACAGCAGCTGAGGGTCTCTGTGCCCAGGCAAGGGCAGGAGCAACCTAGTCCCATACACCGACCTGTGCACACAGAGACATCTGGACCCCCTTAAGGGTCCCAGCAACTCTGCTCAAATAATGTTTCCAGAAGAGTTAGTTTGGGAAAAAATATATTTGCCACTAGAATTCACTGGAATCTCAGAGCCAGCAGGTGTGGCTAGAAAGACCCTCTGCTCTGTCCTCAGGCGCCTGCTGCATCTGGCCATCAGCTGGACTGGAGGAGCTGGAGGGACACATGGTCTTCCTCAGCGGCACCATCCTCATCCTTGGGTGGGGAAGCCAGGACAGGGTTCTTGAGAGTTCCTGTAAACAGATGGCAAGCACTGTGGCTTAACCCTTGAGTGTGTCCCCAGGAAGCAGGCACCAGGGAAACAGAAGGGGCCACTGTCATGAAAACATGTCATGCCGTGGGGACAGCCTCAGCGATCCTGGAGGCCAGCAATCCCTCTCCCTGCTTCCCTTATTCCACAAGCATTTCCCAATCCCCTGCCTTGTCAGGGTCTTCCCCCACTCCACCCCCTGCCACCCCTAGGAGTTTAAAGCGCCTGGAGGTGACAGGTTTGTGTGTCAGAGACCAGAACACCTGAGACATGGAGGAGCTCAGAGGAGAGGGGACCCATCCCGCAGGGGAGGTGGCGGATTTGGACACCCAGATGGGAGGAAGAACACTTCTGACAGATGAATCCGGAGAAGAACTAAGGAAAGCAAAGAACAAGGAGCACTGCAGATGCATGGATGGGGGTGTGGGGAGTGGGTTAGACAACAGCTTCAGGCCCTGAGCTCCACTCTGAGGACTGCGGCCTTCCAGG